TGTGTTTCTTTGCTGGTTAAACCTTATGAGAGTGTTTTTTTTTTCATAAAATCTTGAAATACTCAAATGTTAAAACAATGTTTCGGAGAACCATTTAACTCTTAGTGAAAAGTAATCCAATTAATGCTATTGTTTTTTATTTCTCACACACTAAAATGATTAAACTGTTACTACCAATGTGTCTTTTTATATCTAAAAAGCAATGAATTATTTATCAGCTGAAAAAATATCATTTGCAGCCTCAAATGGGCCATTGTACATGCCTGTGAGCTTCAGAGAAGAGGTTGAATTTCTGGTTGGTTTAACAACAGTTCAAATGTCTCTTTCTTGAGAGAAAACATTTAGCTCATTTTACTGTGCTGAAATACATTTCCTAAGAATGTCACAGGGCTTTTTTGGTTTGTAAACACCTTTAATCTTTCACTACTTTAGTCTTTAGTCTTTAAAAGACAGCCATGATATTAAATTTTGAAGGAACACTAGTTCTATTTTAAGGTTGGGAATCATGGATATATTATAAAACCTTGTGCAGATTTCTGCAACACTGACTCTGCCTTACCAAACAAGATTTGATTGACATGAAAATAATAAAGTGTGGAAATTGTGTTTAGGTCACCGATGCTGACTCCTGCCACCATGTGATTACCTTGACTATTTCTAATAAGGAGAAAAAAAATTAATATGAACGTGAACATATTAAAATATATAAATCACTGCTTTTTTATTTTAAAGTCAAATAAATACAGATATATCGCTGCTGAACATAATTTAAAACAAGTCAAATTATTTCTAGTCTTCATCGTTTTCTCAAAAATAATAACTTTACATATTCACTCCTGACCAGATGCACACGTTTCTCTACAAAGTTAAATAGCATTTTCACATGCAGCAATGATGACACAGCAAATGCTACTAATTCTATATTTTGAAGATTTGTTTATGTATAATGGAGTAACTTGGTTCCTGTCTAAGAAAGAAATTCAAATAATTGACTTTTGTTTATGTATCTTTCTTCCATCAAGGAGATGGAAGAAAGATACATAAAGAGTCCAGTTTAGTTTTAAGCGTAGAAGAAGAGATGCCTCAATTCAAGGCTATGGCATCCCCCAATGGCAGCCCCAATCCATAAAATGGTTGCTTTGGATACATGAGTAAGTATTTTGAATAATTTATAATAGATCTTCAGATAAAGATAAAGTGACACTGCTGTAAAAACTGTGAAGAAAAGGATTTGCTTTGACAAGAGAAGCCAGTACAGATGTTTGTTGCTACTCATGGTCCCACCAACGTGCCAAACAATAAATGAGATGGTAGCATCAGCTTGTATCTATATAAATGAGCTTCAAAATGAGGGCAGGACCTGCTGCAGCTTATCAAGCAACATCACTGACAGTTTAACACCCTCAAGACATGTGATTCTCTCACAGTGTGTATAGGGCCAGTGATGAGAATAGGGCTGCATTCAGTTCAAAGTAAAGCAGCCTCCTATTATAACCATCTCTGAGAACTATATGAACGTTTTCATATCACAGAGATTTAAAAGATACTAAGTTTACATATGACAAATTGCTGGCACTTACATCCCGAGAGATTTAAAATGCGTGCGAGCGGAGAAAAGAAAAACTCTCCCAGCGTCACCAACACTACGATCACAGAGGAGAGATCAGAGGCGCGCGCATCTTGCATATATTCCAGACATCTGATGAGATGCAGACTGCAAGGTGAAGAGACAGAGAGAGAGAGAGTAAGAGAGAGAGAGAGAGACAGAGAGAGAAAAAAGGGATGATGCAAAGAGGATTCTTTTAAAGAAAGAAACAAAACAGATGAGGGGGAGACAGAGAGCTATGAATAGAATTTTACACTTTTAAATCTATTACAGATAAAGTACTGAATCATATAAGCTTCTGGGAGTAGCTGTAGATGCTTTGATGTATTAAGTTTTTTTTTTTCCCAATTACTTTGCAATCATGCAGTCTTCTTGTTGTCACACAGTCTCCTTCCCTCTCAAGTGTGGCTTCATTTAATTTATCCTCTTCAGTTTAGCCTCTCTTCCCATATCAGACCAGCTTCTTTCTGTTTTCTGGCACTCTTTGAAATGAGAAGATTTAAAACAGAAACCCACAAAAATGCATTAATGTGCATCTCTCCTCTTGCTTTGTTTCCACAACTTGTGCACACACGAGCTGCAGGCGCATGAACCTGTAAACCTCCATCGCCTCTTGCTGCCATCCACACTTCTGCCTTAGCTTTGTGATTCTCCTTTGTGACATGCGCTTGCAATGAAAACAACAACAAGAAAAACTAGGCGTGACAAAAAAAAAAAATCTCCTCTGATTATTTGTGACAGGCATCAAATGAGGCACAGACAACAGCAAACGTTTAAAGAAATGGTTGAAACTTCTTTGTTTCTTTAACAAATCTTATATTAGATACACAAAAAGCAAAACGAAAGCTTGTTATAGGCACCGCAAAACAAAGTCTCTGCAAACTGAGTAGGCAGTGCAACAAAAACAACTTTGTTTGCAATAATGGAGTGCATCCATGAAATGTTTTATCTACCAATGCCTCTTAAGAGCTTTAACAAAAAGCTTTTTTCTATGACTCTATATACATGACTCAAGGTCCCACTAAGTGAAGTCGAAGCACTAATAATAAATTATAAGAGGCACATTTTCACTCTGGCTTTAAATACAATCCTGCCAATTAACAGGCAAACATTTTGTTATCCAAATATTAGAAATATTAAATAAAATTCCAAGTTAATCTAAGCATCTTCAAAAGGAAACATGCTAAAAGCTCAAATGTCTTGGAAAAATGGAACAGACTTAGAAATACAGTGACACCTAATCACAGTTTAGTATTGGCAGATTTAATTATTCATCGATTTTTCTGTGGAACGTAACTTCAAATTACTAGCAAAACATTTGTGAATTTTTCGTTGAGTTCATTTAAGATATTCAAAAGAATATGAAGTTAAAATATTCAAAAATATTTTAAAGTGCTTTTTGACGTGATTTACTGGCATTATCAAATCAGCAAATCATGGAGTACCATTAATTTTCCTTTGTGCTAATTGGTTGTTGCCCCAAGAGTGACAATACGAAGGATTGATGATATTAGCTTCTGCTGTAATGCCAGACAGTTCCCATCATGCGTATCAAAGCAGCCTCAGTTTTGGATGCATTTGTTTGAACTATTAAAATAAGCAGTTTACACTATTTTCAGAGACGATCGCAAGTATTCACAAATTTCAGGGTGTGGATGTCAAACACCAGGGACCTATAATAGATTTGAATAGTTCTGAGGCCAGAAAGTTACATCTCTATGTGTCGACTGGTCACCAACATTTAAAGGAAATTGGAGATGATTTATCCACTAATGGGGAGAGCATGCAAAAAGATATAGGTCAGGATTCAAACCCAGGACATTCTTGGTGCAAGGCAACAAGACTACCATCCGCGCCAACCTAAAGGCGCAGAAGTGTGATCTTTCAACAGTTTGCCAAGCAATATGAACTCTAAGAGCAAATGGTAGTTATAATGCATGTAAAGTCACTGTAAAATGTTCTGTTATTTTTCTGGTTCAATGTAAGGGTTAGATGAATACAAAAATGCAGTCATTAACTAAGTAACATGGTGGTTTGGTAATCTTCCATTTAAATATAATCATGTTCTGAATTATGGTTACAATACAGCGGATTCAGACAAGTGTTAAAGGCCATGCTCTACTGACAGAAGTACTCAGTCTCTGGCAGTGAAGCGTGGCTTGTAAAAATGGCCTCAATGCTTTTAGTGAAACAAAAACTAACAATATTGATTAATGGATTATACAAATTTTTGTATTTTTGCTTGCAACATTTGCTCAACACAGCAAAGAGCTACACTGTATTTACTGAGGTGGCCCTCATTTTCAAAGGGTAAGTCTATCATAAAATATTGAATGTGGATAGATAAAAGCTCACCCTGAGATGTCAACAACTCCAGTCCAGTCAGAACCAGTCTACAGAGTCCATCAAATTAAGGAGTTTTAGTAATGCTAAAATTATGTTATCATTGCTAAAAACTATTTCGGGACTTGGGGAGTGCAGTTGTGCATAACTAAGACACCCACTGAGAAATCTCTTCCACCTCCTTTGTCCTTGGCCTTAAGTCATGCCTGGTTTGTCTTTAGACATCCAGCCATGTTGGAGGCTTGTTTTCCGACCTTTAGACCAGCCATCCAGAACTAGAACCACCCATTTCTCCTCTACCCAATATTGTTTATTATATTTTGATTAGCTATGCCTCAATTTTGTATCAAAGAGAGCACTGTTTTTTTTCCCTGCATGAATTGCAAATAATCAATACCACTTAAGCAAAAATTAATGTGTCTTAGCATAAGGAAATGCACATTTCCTTATGCTTATTCCTTAAATGTTCCTTATGCACATTTACTTTCTCATTTAGGTAGATACATTTATGAGTTAAAATGAATCACACATCAAGTCTTCTCATTTCTTTAGAGCCTATGTCGCTTTTCATGACCTTTTGTTTTGAATAGTTCATGTGTTTTAGAATAAAGAGTGTGGCATTTCCAGTGCTCTGCCATGTCAAAAATAATTTCTTCTTCCTAAAATGTCCTAAAATTGTATAACAGATATCAATCGTAGTCCTCAATTTTTATTAAATAAAATTGGGTTTTGTTTAATAGCTTGGGGATTTTTTTCTTACTCAAAAGTTGCATAGTAATCAACAAAATCTGTATTTCCACCTCCATTCAATAACTAAAATGGTTAAACCTTAGCATCTATCAAACATAATAGTATTCCTGTCCATAGCGCAGACAATAAAACACAATTAAAAGATAGCTTTTTACTGGTAATGTAGTTTTTGTAAGAGGGGTTTTGTGTTTTTTATTTCTTCTGTACACCAAGTTATAAAAAGCACAGTCAATCAACTGACACAGTAAAAGGGGTAGCAGTGTTTTGTTGTAGTCCTGTCATGTTTCTAATGTGTTCTTACCAAGCGCCTTCTTTCCTCTTCAACAGTGTTCAGCAGCTGGGAGAACTCTTTGAATGACTGGGCTGCAAAAAAGCAAACAAAAAAAAAAAACAACAACTTGAGAAACAACAAATAGGAAAAAACTAATAGTTTTAAGTCTTGATATGCAAGATATCCTGAACAGACAGCAGCTTTGCACCAGAAAGATGAGGCAAAAGCATAAAGAAAAACAGTGCTGCAGACGTTAAACGTGAGACGTTTCAGAGACCTCTCACAGGACAGAATTGTGCAAAATGTTTATTTGCTTTCTAGCTTCAAACCCTTCAGAGCAGTGCATTTCAGAATATAATAAAAGCGTGCAGCTGTCCAATTTAAACCCAAGCGTCACCCAGCAGTAAGAAACAATACCTCAATCCAATGGATTCCACTGATCGCTTCTCTTTGCTTTCATCCCCTGCAAGGCTTCACAATATACTGCCCCGATGTAAAAGAGAGTGATGAGGTGAAGATGTGTTCACACCATCTGGGATATACTTCAGCAGCCTAGATTACATCCTGCATGGCCAGATGATTTCAGAATACAATGTATTCCACCTTATCTGCTAGAGAATTGTGCCTTGATAGCTTCACAGCTTCATTAAGTAGAAGGCCTGATACAATTGGCCTCTGCTGGAGAGCCCCTGTGTCACTGCATGTCCAGGCATTTAGCAGTGGTCGAGCTGGGCTGCTTTCCAACACAGTAATATCATTATCAGCCCCGACAGCCTGGCAAGGGGACCCATGCATCATTGTGGACACTCGGGTCTATTTGCACACTAAAGCTTTCAAAAACCAGGGAGCAATGATTTTGTGCCAACAATCTTGCAGGCAGCTGGCCTTCTTTGAATGCTACCAGCTCCTTTATCAACAGAGCAAGGCTACGAGGGGGTGAAGGCCACAGCGGGAGCCACTGATGGGACAAGATTAGGAAGGAAATGGGAATCAAAGTGGGGTTACAGCTTGCATATAATTCACTTGTAAATGGAGGAAAGGCAGTAAATGTGAAGAATCACTTACACTGTGTTCCAAATTATTATGCAAGTGATATTTTCTCAGATTTTCTTAAATGGTCAATGCAAATGTTGGTCAGTGTAATTTTCAAGATATGAACTATTACAGTATAAATCAAATTTCACTGAACAAAACTCCCCATGAGAACAGTATTTTTTTCAAAAATAAAAAACTCAAAATGCACTGTTCCAAATGATTATGCACAGCAGATTTTCTAAACATTTTATGGATTATAAAGAACTGCAAATGGTCATTCTTTGAATGTGCAGCATTAAGTGTTCACATGTACTAAAATCAAAAGCTATTTCAATCAAAAAAAATTTAACAGACCAAGTTTCATTTTATTATAGGACCCCTTCTTTGATATCACCTGCACAATTCTTGCAACAGCTGCTCTGTTCATCCAAAGAATTTGTCTAATAGAAGCCTTCCTCATAAAGCCTTCATCTGTACAAACCCATCTTTGTTATGAATCAGCCACAAATCTCTTCACAGTACGATGATAACGCTTCAGTTTTTGTGAAACATCTAATGTTTTTATACCTTGTCATACAGCACCTGACACACAATACCATATATAAATTTAATATCACAACAAGAAAATGTTATCTTTATGACACTCAAATTCAATTTGCATAATAATTTGGAACACGGTGTAGAGGGTAAAAGAGATCTGTTTATAAAAAATTATAAAAACAGAAATTTTTTTGTGTGAGTTTTTCAATAATATTATTAATGCTGTGCACTAATCTCGGTTTTTCAGTTTCTTATTTCAAACTGGAAATAAATTACAAAAATAAACCAAAAAACATAACAGGGTGCACAAATCTGAACTTATTTAGTTTCTGAAATGCACATCTGCACAGAAATATGCATAAGTTCGAATGTACACAAAACATATATATCCCTCAGCATAAAAATAACATATTTTGCTGTTTATCAGAAAATGCAGAACTAATTTAAATTGGTTGGTTTCTTGACAAAGACATGGCTCTTGAGTGTAGCAGTTAAATTTTAAGTTAGGATAAAAACATTGTCAGTTGAGAAAAAGACAAGTTGTATGTTAGAAAAAAACAAGGTAAAGTTTTTTTTAAGTTAAGAAAGCAACCATCAAGCACAGTGACGGCAGGATCATTCTGAGGGGCTTTTGTAGTTTCACCAGCAAGTAAGATGGGTGAAGTGCCAAGAATACAAACCAGAGACAGGCAGAGAAGGGATTTGAACCTACAACCCATCTATCCCAGTTGCCTCTAGTGTTGGAAGGGGTAGGAGCCTCTTAAAGAGACAAAAGCCAATTTAAAGGCAACGGATATGGTTATGATCCAAAGTCATATTTATTTTAAGTTATTTTTGAAATATCCAGCATTTTCAAAACAACTGAAGGCAACAGTTACTTAACTGTGCTATACAAATAACACTACGTGCCTGGAAAATACATCTTAACCCCCTTTTAATAACTTGTGCCAGGAAACCAACTGTTTTTTGTGGATTAGGTGGACCTTTCATGCTAGATTTAATAGTTCATTTTGGCTTGTTCACATCAAACTTCTCTTCTCCCCAAAAATGATTTTAACAGCTCTTAAGGTCTCAGTGACTGACCTTCTGAGGAAAGGTCCTTCAACTTTAAAAAAAAATTTACATTTCTATGGCCACATCAATCCCTTGGCCCCATTGATTCCTAGATAACTGACTGGCATGTGAATGTCACTGCAGGAAGTCATCGAGGGAAATCAATAAAAGGTCAGGTGAACCCGTCTGACAGCACACACAACATCCCAATGTTTTGCGGGGAAGCTCGGTGCATCAAAGTGGACTGCACCAATACTGCATCAAGATCCTTGGTGGCATTCACTCAAGGGTCTGGCCATGTCAGTCAGAAACTTGGTTTCATTGATGACAAGATTGATTTCAACAGGCTGTTTCATTTTTCCCCTCAAATAGTTATCATGGCCTTTTCTCTCTGAGACACTGAGTGAATACAGCAGTGTGGCTAAGAGTGTAAATGGGAAACTGGCCAGTCACTGAATTCACAATTATAACAGAGGCAAGTTTACATTATATTTGCACATTTAAAATTTGTTCCTGACATATTCTCAGTTCACTTTTGTGTGCTAATTGCTTAATAAAGACCAAAATCAATTTATAGGTGAGAAATTAAGATTGCTATTGTTCCATCTGTGATCAAAAGATCTTTTATTGCAGGGCTGGGAATGTGAGCATTGCCTCAAATTAAAGTGTGCTTTATTCTAATGAGACTTCACTTTGGGTGTGGATTTTTTCATTTAACATAATTAGCGCGTGCGCCCCATACAGTTACTGCAGCTTTGTACGGTACTGGTCATTTAGCATTCTGATGAACATTAACGTCTCAAGATGAGGAGGTCGATATCCTGTTCAGCCCTCACAGATGGTCAGTAATTCAGCAGACCACGGCACGGAGCGGCGGACTTAAGCTGGGGATAATGAGTAGGATACAAAACAAGAGGCGAAGGAAGAGGCCAGACTGACAGTCCTGCCCATTAGAGTCGGTGGATCCCCCTGCACAGCTGCTTTCAAATACCTGTTGGAGGCTGGACGATTTCCACCTCCATTAATCTCTGACACTGATCACAATTAGTCCTTCAGATGTCCTGGAGGCTTGACAAGAGGCTGCACAAGAATCCGTGTGAAAATAAAAGAAGCAATATATGCTATTTATTAGCATTAAATAATATTTAAACCTTAATACCTAGCTTGGGGTCTGCAAACTTCACAATCCAAAGAGCCATTTCTCCCTCAAATTTCTAAAAACAGTTTTGCCTGGAACCGCAAAATCTACACAACCTCTCACAAAGAGAAAAAACTAAACAATCATCAGCTTATATTTTTAAAGTACTAGCTAATTGGGGCTGCTGCATATTTTGAAAACTTGCCAGAGGTTTTTTTTTCAGGTGAAATTCATGATCATATGTGAACAAATACTTAACTAAGAAGCATTAATACTGCATTTTTCTGCTGTGGACTCATGCAAAGATAATACCCAGACACACTATCCAGCTATTGGAAAAAAAAAAAGATAATCAGTAGATTATGTTCATATCATTGATCATATTTTGTTTTTGTTTTCTTTGGATAAGTTGTATCCATCTATATTTGTAATGAAAGACTGGGTCTTGAGTTTATCAATAAATATCTGGGTGGATTCAATTGTTTTTATTATGATTTTTGTTATTAATATTTTTATCTTATTTAATTAAAAAGCAGTATAAATTGGCCTTTTTACTACATAAAATCTAAAAATGTTGGCATTTGAAATAATTTATAACATTTTCTGATTTAAAAAAAACACAACAAAAGATTTGAAATAATAGAATGATCACATACTTAAAGAAAAATAATAATGAAAGAATAGTTACGAATCTCATTGGTTTTTAGACTGACACAAAAATCTTTGTCATTCTGTTCGTATTATTGCATTTTTTTACATGAATGTCTTTCCTGTTCTCTTTAAATATCAGAACAATGCTTAGTTTTATAATATTATTGCTCAAGATTATCAGGAGTCTCTTTAAGGGGCCCACATGGTTACAGCTACAAGTTTCAGAGTCTTGGCCCACACAGAGTTAAGATTTAGCATTTGGACAACTAATAATTCCTAGCTTTTTGCAAAGCTCACATAAGCCATAAGACATTCCTTTTCTGAATACTATTTTTCAATTAGAAAACTGGTTCTCAGACATTTTAAGCTACTATTGTAAAAAAAAATAAACCACATTTTTTTCACAGTTTTGATTAAAGTAAATCCACAAAAAATGCTGGATTTTGTAGTTATAACATGATGCAAATGTGAAAAATACATTTTTGAGATACTGAGTAGATGAATAAAATGTGTACCTGGCCAATGGCTCCATCCATCTACTCCTTTTTTTTTTTTTTTCTTCTTTTTGGACTGTGTGTACATGCATGACAATGTGGCAAAATGTGCTAATCTGTTTAGTAAAATGCAACAGCCAATTAGCATGCATGTTGCATATTTTGGAGAAAGGCCAAGGTTGTGTGTTCTCCCTTTCGCAGACAAGCATAATTGCACTGAAAAAGCACAGCTGGCATTTGTATCCCTGCCCCCACCTTAAGCTATTGTACCCTCAGGCAATATACTGATCTACAGTTGACTTGTGGTGGCAGACAGGCACCTCTGCATGGCAGCTCTGCTGGACTGGTGTGTGAATGTTTGAGCAAATGGGTCAAAGAGGAAAAACAAGGTAAAGAGCTTTCCAAAACAGAAGGGTCAAAAGAAGCTTGCAATTATAGGCAAAAGGTCATTTGCACATCATAGCCATAAATACTAAATAGCTGCAAACACTAAGAACATTTATGGAAAACCTCCAACATAAAACCAGACCAGACAACGCTGCAGCACCTAACTGCTCGAAATCAGCAATAAAAAGAGGTTTCCATGAGTGGAAAGGAGGCTGGTTTTTATAAATTTCTTCAGAATGACAAGATAATTGTTTGATTGAAGATATTTTAAAGTGCATCAAATGGAATACTGTAGTAGTTTCACACCATTAAAAATAATATGAAGTCATTCAAGGCACTGAAAGAGAATTGAGCATGATGCATAAATCACAGGAGAAAATAAACTGTTAACTTTGGTTAAAGCTTTTGGGATGTGGGACTAAGAGTTAGACTGATTTGAGAACCTTTAGAGTGAAGAAAATGAAAAAAACATATCCGGTCATGAGAGTTTGTTCCTTGGCTCTCCTCTCATGCATTTGAATCTCATAAATCAAGCTCTTAGCTTTTGTTTTTTTAAATAATTTACAAAACTGGTATATTCTGCATTACAAATTGCAATAAAGCAACAGTTTTCCCTCCAGTGACTTTACAGAAGTTTCTATAATGAATCTGAGACAAATGACACAGTTGTGCCGTGATAAATGACTCTTACCAATGTTGACCTCGTCATCTGTCTCAGCATCACCTATGCACTCAAACTGGAACTCCTGCAACGACTGGGAGAACTTCTGGACAGCAGCAGAAAGACCTGGAAAATAAAACAGAACAGAAGATAAAGTGGAGCATATCTGAATCTGTCACGAAATAAAAACAACCAATGAATTTGTTTTCATATTAAATCGGCTGCAGTAACTAGTGCCCCAGAAAAGTAATTGAGTATTTAAGACAAAATGTTCTCCATTTTGTGCTGTGTAATATGTACTGTGGTCTAATTGTTTTCTGATTATTTATGAAATGACTGGTGTCGTTTTCTGGCACCGGAGCACAAGCCATAGGGACATGAGAATGCCACTGGCTCAAAGTTTGGAAATAAAAATTATGCCAAATTATATTCACAGACTAAATCAAACTAAAATTCCTGCAGCGGACCGCCAACACCTGCTCTCAGTGCCTGACTCAGACCAAATATGGGAAGCCTCAAAGTCCCTTCTTTATGAACCAAAAGTCATACGGTAAACAGAGTTGCTTCGCAAGGAAGCCGAGTCAACAACTACCAACCTCCGTGATCCTGACAGTGTGCAAAATGTGTGTGCCAAAGACTAGCATACACAAAGACTTCCCTATCATCACAAAACACCTTTAATGACTGCAGCATCCAGCAGTTTGTAAAAGACTTAATGGTAACTTTAAGTGGTGTCATTAGTTAAATAATTATTTTTTTCCCTTTTAGAGGGGCTATGGAGGGCTTTCCCCCCCCTTTTAGTTGTCAGACAATAGCAGCCCAACAATTAACACTTAATGTGCATTAAAATGATGCAGATGAATAAATCCACCAGCACCTTGAGATTTATCATGTTATATTATATTATATTAATAATTTAATGTTTTGGAAATCAATATGAAATGTGGAACAGGGGGTAGAGGATGCATGGTTGAGACAGTGACCCAATTTTATGGCGTCAACATTAAATATCTCAAATAGTGTTTTATATATGCAGTATATTTATAAAAGCTGGAGGTAACAGTAAGTTCATTGTGCCATAAAATGTCACTACGTGCTTGGAAAACACATAGTAGTGCCCCTTCAGTCGTGTGTTAACTCCATGGGAATGTATAATTTCTATACTTAAGTTAAATCCTACCACATACCTGCACAATGAAACCATTTAGCTTCAGTGAAACTTCGATTGATTCACTATTGTCAAATATGTGAAAAGTTAGGAGTCTCAGGACCCAGGATATGTTAATGCAGCGCTGGATGATTCACAGTGTGGGGTGACGGCTCTTTGAGCACTCACTGTTCTTCCCTCAAGTGCCAGGAACTGTATTTTTTTCGTGGATGGGGGAACCACGCAGTGACTGGTGCCAAGAAAACCTTCCTTCCAGACCTTGCCTTTCATGCAGGCAGGGGACAAACTCACATAAGTTTCAAGCAAAAGATGTGCTTGACAGTGTCTGGGAACAGAGTAAAATAATATCCTTTTAAGACCGACTGTCAAACTCCATGCTCACTGACATTCACACATCAGCAACTGTGAAAGTGACTGGAATAATAACTAACTAACGATAGTTTATTGATTAGAATTCTTCCTTTTGTCCGTAAGATTTGGGCCTAAAGGAAAATTCCTACCTTCGTGCTAAAATTGACAAACACCAGCGATTAAATCAATCTTGGAAAGCTCTCCTTGCAAAGAACTTTGGATGTTTATTTCACTCCAGCAGTTTAACTGTGATTTAATGCCCTATTTTGTATCTGTGGAATATTTCAAAACATCTTGAGAGAAGACAGAAAACATTACTCATTCGATGAATGTCTTTAATCTAAGCAAGGAACGTCAAAGGGAATTTGGGCTCAGGCAAAACATTCTAATATTCTTTAAAACCCAGTTATATAACACATTAGTGTTCTACTAACAGAGCAGGTACAAAGTATATATTTATGTGTGTACAGATTTTAGATTGTTTTTCCAGTGGAACCAGTAATATTATCTGTTTGCTACTTGACTCAAGAGGGAAACTACATCGCATTGATAATTACTGTAATTTATGGGGTTCTTGAAATTAGTAATTTCCTTTGAGTTTACTGCCGATTTGTATACATGCTAGCTGTGTATTTACACAAGAAAATTACTAAAGAATATACAACAGCCTTCAAAAAGACTAAATAGCACATAAATCATGTGTAAAGAACTTCAACATATTTTGGTTGATAGTTCACTTTTTAAATAAAAAAGCCACAATAAGCAAGGTTTTGAAATAAAAAGCAGATGTTCAAATCACAGTGCATCTCTGGTATTTGTAAGCCTTTGACATGACGATAAGCATTATATGACGAGAAAATTTGGGAACATTTATTCATCATCTACACACGCTTAACCATGCAAAGTAGTGAGAGTGCTGGTGTGTATCTTCAGCGTTCACTAGGTGAGAATTTTAGAAAGATACATTGACTTAATATGCAGCTTTGGATGGCGAGAGTAAGCCAGAGTACTCAGAGAGAACCCAAGCAAGCCACTCATTATTTTACAAAAAATGCAGTGTGTATTAGTGTTCAGTCACCAGAGTTTATTATTTCCAAAAGCTGGCTAATGAAGTGTTTTGGATTAGGAGCATCCAAATACAGACAGGACATCAGCAGGTAGATGCACTTAGGAAAATTGTATAATGAACAAAATTAAAAACTTACAGTCTTGAAATGAGAAAAATCAGAACACGGAAAAATGACAACAGCAACACAAGAATCCAGTAATGAGCAAAGAAACCAGGCAGCTTACATACAATGGAGGTCGGAAGTATGATGGTGATTTGGAAACCAGGCATGCACAAATAAACACAATTAATGGCAGCAAAGAGGGGAGAGGAGGTGGTAAAACGCAGGGGGAGTTGAAGCAAAATGCAATAGGATCTACCAACAAAGGAAAACGCATAAAACTAAAATAAAAGTCTTAAACCAAAAAGTGAATGTTACAGAAGAATCCCAAATGACATGAAAAACTGAGAATGAAAGTTCAAAGGTTTAACATATCAACTTTGCAGGACTCCATTCAGCCTTCCTGTTATCTAAGCAAAGTCTTACTCTCTCCCCCAGCCTGAATGAAATACAAGCATGTTTCGATATGTTGTAAATAATATTGTTATCTTTTAAATAGATTTTTGTGTGCTTTCTGAGACGTCACATTAAAGCACATTGAACTCCCTAAAACATCTTGTTTTGAGTCTACTTCCCTCAACAACAGCTTATGCACCAAAAAGTATTGAAGAGTGGAACCGTGTGGTGCGTTCACTGACTAAAAAAAGGCAGTTTTATTTTCCTGAGTGCCTATAATAAGCTTGTGATAAAGATTGACCAATTCCATATACCTGCTAATTTCTCTATGCTTTAATTCAGATGCTGCCTTTTAAAACAAACAATTTCAATCACTGGTCACAGGTGTTGGCAGCTTCTCTTCTTCAAGAAGTTAAATAAGTAAGTAGCTGACCATAAGAGATCCATAAAGTACTGCTCATTACAAAAGAAAACATACAGTGAAAAGCAATATTTTGCCTCTGGCCAATTAAAGACTGAACAACATGCATTTCTTTAAAAGAATATTAAAAAGTTTGAACACTTTAATCAAACAAATCACAAAATAAGCCTGTTAAAAATGTTATTTGAATTTATTTAAGAACTTCCAAAAGTAAGATAATCATTTTCCCTCCACCTGCTGTTAAAACCACACAGTATGAGTTATGTTTCTGCTAAGCACAGAAGTCCTCAGGAAAAACTATCAAATTATCTTATAAGCCTATTTTATAAGCACAGTCTTACACCTTTAACTTATCAGCACTGACTCACCAGTGGCCAAGAGCAACTTTTCATTGTTTGCAGAGGCAGGAGCAAACACGACCACTTAAGAATTAGAGGAGCTTTAACAGTCTAATATTCAGTGGAGAGACATGACTAGGTTATCATTTCCTGCACACAGCCTGCCTAAAATACAACCTCCCACTTTGTTTTTATTTTAGTCCTGGTGGGAAAAGAAACAAGACATTAAAAATAACATTCATTCAGACACGGAAAAACACCTCACTGTGCCTTTTAAAAACTCAGTACATATTTGCAGAAAAATTCAAATTATAGAGATATTTAATGTTGCAAAACATTAAATATACGTTTAATACTAAAGATGTCACATGGCTTTTGACACATTTATTCTACAGGCATCTAAACATGAGGAAATGAAGTGTATTTTGTGGAACATTAAGTCAGTTATGTCTATATTGACATGTACACCACACACAGTGCTTTTTAAACCCCCTCTAAAAATCGGTTTCAACATATTTACAGCTTTTCCGAAAAAACTTCAGGTCAAATCTTGTCATGAGTTGAAAATATTGTAGAAAATCTGTATTTGGAAAAATATTCACAATGATGTGGTCGGGGTCAGAAGCAAAACAAAAATTAAAGGGTAATAGAAAGTAGCAACACAAGTTTCTCAGGTTTTGAACAAAACTGGATCATTTTCAGGATACCGGATGGACGAGTAGCAAAACCTTTCCCTCAAGGAAAAAAAAATCTGTTTTCCTTCTGCAAATTTAACAAAAACTCTACAGAAGTGTTGTCTAAACACATGACATATTTGCACTGAAACAAGCATCAGGTTCAGCTACTAAATTTTATAACTAAGACAACAATGTTCTCCAGTCCCCCAAGAAATTGTGTAATGTTTTGTGCTATTTTAGATTATTTGCAACATTACAATGTATTCCACATTGCATAAATACGTATATAAAGCACCTCCACATAGAGACATAATGGGTTGTAAATATAGCAAAGGAGAAAAATAATAATTCAGGCCCCAGAATTAACCATGCTGGCTGAGAGTTTAATCATTTAATTGCAATTTTTTTTCACTAGACATCTCATTTTGAATTGCTATAAGCAACTGTTACATAAAGTGAGAGTACAGTTTAGATTGGTTGAGTAGAAGAAGCCCATGTACCTGAACAACACACAAAGTGCTTTTAACATTTCATAATTCATTTAGAATTATAATTAAATGCAAAACAAGATAGAGGTTCTAAAACCACTCTGACATTTTAGTTGTC